AACGCGGCAGCCAATTGTGCACTGCAGTGTCCTACAAACAGTCATGGATTGAGTGACCAAGTTATTATTTTTTTTTACATGAGGGATTATTATCAGGCATGTGGAGTAAGGAAACTTGTCCAAGGTTTTGCCCTGCCAGGGATACAAACCCAGGTCTCTCGCTTGCGAGGCGAGCGCTCTAACCACTGAGCTACAGGACTCCAGGGAAAGCGAGGTGGTGATGCGGGGAAGGGGAAGCGAAGAGAAATTCTCTCTCTCTCGCTAGGCTTCTGCGTGTTCAGAACTTGAGGTCCTCATACTTGGTTTGGTTTTCAGATAGTCAATCAGCCGATCCATGGATCATCCTCGTTTCATGTCCTTCGGGGATCTTTCAACCAGTAGGGGAGGGATTTTTTCTGATCGTCTCCCTGTTCCTCTCCCCACCCTCAAACCTCCAACTCCCCCATACCACTCCATCCCAAAAATGGGGGAGAGTTCTTTTCTCAGACACTCACTCCTGCCCAGTAATGTCCTGTGCACAGGTTAGAACAATAACAACAAGAAAATTACATTTGTATAGCACCTTTCACTTCGGGAGGATGTACCAAGGTCCTGGACAATCATGTTATGGTCAGAAGTCAGCACAGAGCACTGGCTGGCCTCCCAGCTTCACGTCGTCAAACAGAAACAAGACCAGAATGTCCACATTGCCGGCCGCCAGGTCCTGGGGTGTTTCCTCCTCTACGTTGGACAGGCAGATGTCAGCTCTTGAATGGCATAGGGCGCTGGCGATGCCCGTGTGCTGCCTGCCCACTGCCAGGTGAGAGCAGTGCAGCCGTCATCCACGTCAGCGTTGTGTCGCAGAAACAAATTGCAGCGCTGTCTTCCCACTGGTACCGTCCTGTGCATCAATATTTGCCCCATTATGGAGATGTTCCGTTATCTCCAGGTTTCTGCCCAGCGTTGCCACATGTAGACATGTCACACCTTGCCAGTGCCGTAGCTCCAGGTCCTGGTGTCTGGATCTAAGACAGAGGTGTTGGAGGTGGTGTCTCTCCTGCGCTGTGGGCAGTGTCAGGGCCTGGACACACTGGACCAGCCCATACTCACAGGCCAGGTGCAGTGGGGTGTTGTGGGGTGTGGGACGGCCAGGGTGCCGATCCTGCTGCTCCAGACTCACTCTCCTCAGCACCAGCGCCCGTACCAACCTGCACCGGTTAGTGTACACAGCCAGGTGCAAGGCAGCCTGAAATCTCCAGCACCTCCACAGAGAAGATGCTGATGAAATGCAGGGCACATGCTTCTGCCTTGTGAATCGCTGTCAGGTGCACAATGGTGTCCTCATCTTCCTCCAGGAAAGTGTAAGGATCCAGGAGAGAGGCTGTCATTGTCTTGTCCCTGGATTCAGTGTCTCTTTTCTTGTTGTACTCCTGTCTGATCCGACAAGACTTGTCCAGGGCTTCAGATAGCGAGTCTGTGATGGACGAGGTGCTGTACGAGGAGTCCAGGCATTCAGAGAAACACGAGGAGCCATAACTGGTGTCAAACTGATCTCCCTCCACTTCCTCTACCTTCACTTTGCTCACCGGCTCCTGGGGCTCTCCGAGCGATTCAACCAAATCCAAATCACACTAAGATTTATCAACATCCAACTTACTATCAGGATCCGCTTTACTCCCCACATGTTCCATTGTGTTTCAGATTAATATTGTGTGAGTTAGCTGTTTCCTCTTGATGGTGAATCAATGTTGCAAAGTTGCCTTTTTTCTCCTACCCATTTGTAATCACCAACAGAACAGTGACTGAGGCCAAGTGACTTGCTTGTTAATTTCAGATCAATTTCAGTGCAGGTCAAAATCTTCTCCTTGCTGGAAGGGATGATTCCTAACTATCTCCTGTTGGTAATCCAAGTTCCAATATATTTTTCCCTTCTTTTTACAAAACCCTAAGTTTCTCTCTGTGTCGCTGTGTGTATGTGTATGTGTGTGTGTCGCTCCTTCTGCAGAGCTACAGGTTTGCAATCGCAGAGGACTTGGGATTTCCCTCAGGTTTTTTTTCAAAACAAAATAGTGGCTTTCTTGTTAGGAAGCTGTCTCAATGTGCTTCAGAGAATTCAACTGCAAGTTTAGTGACTGTGTATTATTTTAGGTGAAATGTGGTAGCCAATTTGTGTACAGCGAAATCCCACAAATAGCCATGAAGTGATTGATCAATTTGTTGGCTAGGACACTGAAAGAAACTCTCCTTGTGTTTTTCAATAGTGCATGCCATCTTTAACCTCAACAGGCAGACAAGACGTGGGTTTAACGTCTCATTACCCAGGTCTAAGTCTAGTGTGCCGATTGGGACTGTCTTTAGTTACTGCCACAAATGAATTGAGTTTGGTCAATCTTAGTCCAGTCCTTACTTCCAAAATGAACTTGAATGTCCAGTTCAATCATTCTCAGGCAGTTCTTTACATAAAACATGTCATCTTGCATTTACTCAGTCATTGCTATAGAATAAGATATGTTTTGTTATATTCAGAGTGACTGGATTATATGCTTTGGTTATTATTGTTAACTGTTGGCATTTAAACCTGAATGAAGTACCCTCAGAAATAAAACAAGGAAAGAATTTATATTTCTGAGAATTGTTCAATGTTTGTTCAGTTTTCATTCAAAATATTTTAGAGACAAATAATCTGTAATTGTTCCAGGTCGGGTGCCAATATTCAACAGGGAATATGATTTATTTATTTTTCTTCCCTTTCCTCCTCCTCCTCTGCTGCTAAGGCATTTGATTTCCCTTTTCCTCTAATCTACAACGGATGCTGGGCAGCCTCTCCTTTTTCAGCTACTGCAGTATCTAAGTGTGAGCCTCGCCAGTGATCCTGAACCCAATCTTAATTTCAATTGATATTGCCAGATGTTCATCTTCCAACAGTTCTCTGCTTTATAATACAATAGAAAATTACATTTGCAAAGTGCTTTTCACATTGGGAAGACATCCCAAGGCACTGAACAGTCAAGAATTAGGACCCGAGCGGGTGTGGAGAGGGGGCTGGGGGTAGAGGGTAGGAGGGTGGTCAAAGGCACGGTCGAAGAGGAGGGTCTTGAGGCGGGCCTTGAAGGAGGCAAGGGAGGGAGCGAGGTGAAGGAAATGTGGGATGAAGTTCCAGAGGGTGGAGCAGAGAGGCAGAAGGCCCAACCGCTGATGGTGGAGCAGACCTGGTACAGGACATGGAGCAGGCTGGAGCCTGCTGAGGGGAGGGAGCGGACAGGTTGATCAGGGGTTAGCAGGTCGGAGAGGTAGGAGGGGGCAAGGCCTTGGAGGGCCTTGAAGGTGAGGATGAGGATTTTGAATACTATCCTCTGAGAGATAGGGAGCCAGTGGAGCTGGGCGAGGGTTGGGGTGATGGGGGCACTGAGACTGCTGTTGAAGAGGACACAGCTGCAGAGTTCTGGATGATCTGCAGCTTGTGGAGGGAAGAGTTGGGAAGGCCAACAAGCAGGTGTTGGCATAGTCAAGCCTGGTTGTAATGAAGGTATGTATGAGGGTTTCAGCGGCCTGAAGGGTGAGGCAGTGGTGGAGTTGGGCAATGTTGCGGAGGTGGGGGAAGGCAGAGCGGTTCATGGCACGGATGTGGGAGAGAAAGGACAGTTGAGGGCCGAACAAGATGCCCAGGTGCCTGACTGGTTTGGTGAGATGGAGTGTGCATCATTGGATGCTGATGTTTCCAGTGCCTGAGGTCCGGAGGCGTTGACGTGAGTCAATCAGGAAAGCCTCGGTCTTGCTGACATTCAACTGTAGAAAGTTGACTCTCATCCAGGACATGATGTCTGACAGACAGTCTGTTAGGAATTCAGTGTTCCTGGAATCAAGGGTGGAGGCAGAGAGATAGAGTTGAGTGTCATCTGGGCATGTGTGGAAGTTGACCCCATGTCTGCGAACGATGTGATCAGGACTGGCAAAAACCGGATGATTTTCTCCTCTCATCCCAGTGACGCTAAGTCCAAAGGCAGCACCCAGTCTAATAAAAATAATAATCCTTCAGTTTGATACAGCGCTTCATCAAGTTGTCAGTACGTCTCAAAGTGCTTCACATTACTGTGAAGTGTATTTGGTGTGCGAGTGTGACAGGCAAATTTGCACACATTAATATCTGACAAACAGCCATGTGAGTGTTTTTTATTTTAGGGGATTGTTAGTCAGGACAGTAGGATAAACTCCCTTTTCTTTTTGGATAGTGCCATGGCATCTTTAATGTTCACCTGGACAGACAGACAAGACGTCAGTTTAACATCTTATCTGAAAGATGGCACCTCAGACAATGTAACACAGCTCCAGCTGTGGATTAAAGCTTGCAACTCGCTATAGCTCAGTGTTGCACCAGGCAGTGCCTTTTCCCACTAGGACATCAGGGGCGTTGAAAGTAACAATAATATAGGGAAAAATACAATTGTAATGTTTTATTTCAAATATTCAAGCACCAACATGAAAGGGCAGGCAGGCACTCAGGGAAAGTTATGATAAAATAATAAATGCATCTTATATTGCACCTTAATACATTGTTGAAATGTCTCAAGGTGCTTCACAGAATTTATGGTGAAGTGTAGTGATTGTGTGTTTTGTGGGTGAACGCCAATTTCTACAGAGCAATGTGCCACCAACAGCCATGAAGTGAACAACTAATTTTATCTTGGTAATTGTTGGTCAGGACACCGGGAGAAACTCACTTCTGTTTTTGAATCGTGCCATGGGATCTTTAACATCCACCTGATGAGGCAGACTTGACCTGAGTTTAACATCTAACGAAAGGATAGCACTTCGAACAATCCAGAGTTTCCCAGCCCTGTATTGGAGTGTCAGCCTAGATTGTGAGCTCAGAATCCCAACATAAGGCTTGAACCTATAATCTTCTGACTCAGGCGAGAGTGCAACCAACTGAGCCTGGTTGACACCTAAAAAGGATTGAGTCCACGAATCTTCAAAGACTCTGGTGGTGGAATTTGTTTAACCGGTGTTTTTTTACCTTGCAGGATATGGCCACGCAGCTCCAGGGACTGATCCAGGCAAAGCCTTTTGCATGTTTTATGCTGTACTGGGAATACCACTGACTCTAGTCATGTTCCAGAGCCTCGGAGAACGGATGAACACCTTTGTTAAATACCTTTTAAAACGAATAAAGAAGTGCTTTGGCATGAAAAGCACCGATGTGTCCATGGAGAATATGGTGACCGTTGGTTTCTTCTCGTGCATGGGAACCCTGTGCATTGGAGCTGCAGCCTTCGCTCACTATGAAGACTGGAGCTTTTTTCATGCATATTACTACTGTTTCATCACATTGACTACAATAGGGTTTGGGGACTATGTGGCACTCCAGAAAAACAGGGCCCTCCAGAGAAGGCCGCTTTATGTGGCTTTTAGCTTTATGTACATTTTAGTGGGTTTAACAGTAATTGGAGCTTTCCTGAACCTGGTGGTTCTAAGGTTTTTGACCATGAATAGTGAAGACGAACGGCGGGATGCTGAGGAGCGAGCATCTTTGGCAGGAAACAGAAACAGCATGATTATCCACATCCAGGAAGATCCCCAACAGGGCAGACAGCGGTACAAAACAGAAGTAACGGACCTCCAGTCTGTCTGCTCCTGCATGTGCTACAGGTCGCACGAGTACACCAATAGGGTGGTATCTCACCAGAATTCATTCAGTTCCCATCTGAATCCCCAGTACTTTCATTCTGTATCTTATAAGATCGAGGAGATTTCACCAAGCACATTAAAAAACAGTCTGTTCCCATCTCCCGTGAGCTCTGTGTCGCCGGGTTTGCACAGCTTTAATGACAACCACAGGCTCATGAGAAGGAGAAAGTCGATTTGAAATGTTTATTTTTGGTTCGTTTTTGAGTGTGACGGAGAAAAAAAAGAAAAAAGAAGCCTTTCTCTGGGACTCAGAAACCAAGCATGAAGCATGGTTAATAAGCTCCACAGCACCAACAATATGCCTTACATATGGCTGTTGGATTCAAGGGTTAAGCATTGAGTTGGCATCCATCGAAAACCACACAAGCGGAATCATTTGACTGGCATTAATCTGCTTCACCTGGAAGTAAGAGTAAACTGTTAGATTAAGACTTGATATTGATATAGTGGGATGTGTGGAAAACTAATGCATCAGGTATTCATTTTGTAAACAGTTTAAACACTGAGTCGCAGACTGATGAAAAGAACAGAAAATCCAAACCCTGTTGCCAAACAGCATGCGCATTGACACAAGAAGCAGTCAGTACACCGGGTGTGCCATTGTATTTTCAACAGCTGGATCTTTATTACTGGATAGGAAAGTGCAGAAGGATCATTTTAGCTTGCCAGTTAAACGCATGCAATTTGTAAAACTGGTATGCATTATAACTTACCTGAAAACACAAAACTTAACTAGCAATGAAATTAATAAAGCAATTAATATTTATTGATTTATTATGAGTATTACATACATCTTTATATTATATGTTTGTGATCATTCCAGCCATTTGCCCTTTCTCTTCATTCAAGGGAAATGCAAGTGACTGGAATTGGATTTCTCTGATAACTTTAGTGCAGTTATTAGCTGCATGAACTGGAATTATTTTTTGAATGCCTGGATAAAGACAGTGAGACTATATTTTACAGGACTAACAAATAGCTGGATTACCTTTGCCGGAAATGGTTGAAGTGATTTCAGCTGTTATATCCAAATCTGACCTTTTGCTGTTCTATGAAACAGTACAAATGATAGAAAGCTATAACAAAATGTTTACAACTCAAAGTAGACTTCACTCATGTACAAACTTGTAATTATTTCGGTTGCTTCTTTTTTTGTAATGAATGCACTATTATGTATATATTTTACATTGTCTTTACAAACAATTACTGTAGTGTTGTAAAATAATGCACTTTTCTAAGTTTTTCATTAAAATATGGCACGTTTTAAAATGTAGATTGTTGCTTTTATACGAATGTACAAGGTTAAATACGTTCCTGTAAACTTGCACCACGGAAGCTGCCTTCAGTGGTTATATTTGTACAAAAAGAAACAGGAACCTATAGAGATTTATCAATTATATATATTCAATTCTGAATGAAATGTACAGAGAAGATTTAACTGATGAATTTAAGTATAAAAGAGATGTTATAAATGACAACTATTTTGCATGCAATAAAAAGTACCTTTTCTTGACAACAGTGTTATGTGCAGAGTACGTCCACAGCTCTTCCCCCAGTGGATCAAGGGTTGCTAACTATGGTTGGGTGAATGTGAAAATGTTCCCCTTGGCTTTGAGATCCCTCAATTATCCATAATAGTAACACAGATAAAACAAATCATTGCCAATCTGAAAGTTTTGCCTAACATAACACACAAAGCTGTCATCTCAGCACCTGTCTTGTGAACTGATCATGCAAATACCATTTGGCAGCTCTAAAATGTTGTTTCTTTATCTTGGAAAAATGTTGGGCCTTGGCACAATAGGACCATGCTGTCAAAGGGTTCAAAATCAGTTCTGGTAATATCTTGGCCTCTTTTCCTAGATTGACTGATTTAGCAACACTGGAGAGCAGTGTGAAAATGGCTAATTTAGCCCAACTTGGGTCTGCCAGGAAAAAAGAGTTGGATGTAGGCCACACTGTACAGGTTTATTGCACTGTGTCACAATTGAAGTGCAGAAACAATCATAAACATGCCAAAGATTGCAGTTAATGGAAATGACTTGCGCATATTAAATGGTATCTCTCTGCTTAACCAACCACTGTTGAAACAAGCATGATTTGCAGGACAGTTTTTCCAAAATAAGTGACACTGCCAGTGAGGGTCTAATCTGTGATAGCAGGATTCAAAGCACAAGTTACAACCTTTATTTGTGAATATTGAGAGCTGTTATAATTTGCGATGCGTACAGCATAGCTGTTTATGAAGAACATGGAGTCCTGTAGCTCAGTGGTTAGAGCACTTGCTTTGCAAGCAAGACACCTGGGTTCAATTCCAGGCAGGGCGAAACCTTGGGCAAGTTTCCTTACTCCACACGCCTAATAATAATCCCTCCAAAAAACCCAAAACAATAATAAATTGGTCATTTTCAATCTACGACTGTTTGTGGGACATTGCTGTGCGCAATTGGCTGCCGCGTTCGCCCACAAATATACAGTCAATTCACTTTACAGTATATTCTGTGAAGCGCTTTGGGACGTCCTCCCGACGTGAAAAGCGCTATATCAAATGCAAGGATTATTATTATTATTATTATTATAACATTGGAGAGCAAAAAATACCATTTTCGCACCTTTACTAAAAGCTAATTCTGGAGTCTTATACAAGCTCTGGATGTGAGAATGCCACAGAATGTAGATGGAAGACAGGCTCTGGTTGTGAGATCTCCACAGAATGTACAATAGCAACAAAAACAATTTTACTTTTATATAACATATTTCACATTTCAGAGGGTATCTCAAAGTGCATCTCAAAGCTGACTCGGAGCCAAGCTTGGGTAGGGGGAATTAGGTGGAAAGGTGACCAATTGGCAAGAAAAGACTTAAGGTGGGCTTTAAAAGCAGGGAGAAAGGGAGGGACTGAGATAGAGGATAAAGGAGTTCCAGAGAGCAGGGGCAGAATTGCTAAAAGCTCTGCCGCTGATGGTGGAGTGGGTTGGGAGGAGGACATAAAGCTGGTCAGTGTTTGCAGAGCAGAGGGATTGGCTAGGGCAGTTGGGTTGCAGAATATAGGGTACTTAAGCAAGAGGACTATGTTTCGAATACAACACAGGAGTAATTTGCAGGGATACGGAGAAAAGGCAAAATAACTGAATGGATGGTTCGTTCAAGGAGCTAGCCCAAATGTAATGGATAGAATGGCTGTCTTCTGTGTTGTAAATTTCAATGGTTTGATGCAATACAATACAATTTACATTTATATAGCTCCTTTTACATCATTTGCACCAAACTGGATTTGAGAAGTGAGGGAAGGCAGGAGACAGATTATGCATAATAGATTTCTTAAAAGGGAGGATGCATAAAACATGAACATTGATGTCCAGGATTCAGAATTTAAACTATCCACAGAAGATAAAAAGTGGATTAAGGTTTCCAAAGTTTATTTTGCATCTGTCTGGCACGGTGTGTTTTTTGCATACATAAAAACAAACTATACATATCCTTAGTAAATTAAACAAATACCAGAGACATACTAATTGTTCTGGGAAATTGTACATGGGAGGTAAGCACTTTCACTGGGTAGTGAGATTCGCAACAAAATTTTAGCAGCAGTTTTTTTCTCTGAATACAGCTTGCTGGCTGGCACGTATATGTTACTAAGAGATAGCCTTTATAAATCATTATTGGGTTCAGTCAGCCTAAATATACGACTTAAAAGCTTGGGCAGTCTAGTACATGAATTATAAGTTCAGGCAACCTATATAAGTGACTTATTGCTTGGAGAACCTTAAATGTCAGATAGCCTACTTAAAAGCTGTAGGTTCAGACAACATGCAGTGTAAGTGACTTATATATTCCAGACAATGTAAGTGACATATATTCAAGAAATCTATACATTTTTTATTCCTAGCCCTATTTACTGTTAAAAAATATCCTAGTGACAAAATAAATTTTCATTTGATTACAGATTTCATTAATTGATAAGATGGGCAATGAAAGAAAGAACTTACATTTATTTTGTGCCTTATCTCATAAAAAAATGTTTCACAATGCTTCACAGGAGATTGTCGTTATGTTACAGTAACTATTTTGCAGGCAAATGCAGCAAACAATGAGAGATCAATGATCAATTAATTAGAAGATTTTTGTCCAAAACATCAGAAGAAACTCCCTCCTCTTTTTCAATCATGTCACAGGATCTTTTTAAGATCCATCTAGGACCTTGGTTTAACATCTCATCCAAATGACAGTATTTTGGCATTTTCTTGGTGCTGTACTTATTAGTATCAGCTGAAACAAATGTGTGAGTGAGACTTGAACCCAACCCTTACAGACGACAGTTAAGAGTGCTACTAACTGAACCAAATTCCCACAGCAAAGTAACCCACCCTGTTGACATGCTATTATGAAATATATATTTTAACACTAAAAAGCAGAATGAACGTGAATGCGTTTAGGACAGAAAAACCTTGATTTTCATCTCACGCATGAGTGCTCTAAAAGTACTATAGTCCCACGGTTCCTCTCCAATAGGTGCCAAAGGAGTAAATTCTGAAACCAATCTATATAACAGTTAAAGTACTCTTTATTAAAGTCAATAGAATTAAGTGAAGCAAAAATCATTACAGTGAGATCCTTATCTTTAGGGCCTCTTTTAAAATGATATGATTACCAAGTTACTGGTAATATCTATTTTTGTCAATTTTTAAACTAGATATTTTTCGTAGAAGATGATAGCAATGAATCACCGGTCATTGAGGTTAAGTGGACAGCACGTTACTGAGTCTGATTGTTTGGGAGTTGATTTAATATAGTACAAATGGAGTCATAAACCCAGATATTTTTAAATTATTGAGCGCTTACAATGCAGGAGAAAATTCAATCTCTGCTGGTGCTATCCTTATACTGGAACTATCTGATCTCATCTGATTACATTTATATCAGTTGTTGCAGGTTCCTCACATTCAAAGGCCCACATCAGGACTTTGGCTGACACCTCAATGCAGGGTCGTGGGAAGGCTGCATTGTTGGGAGTGCCGTCCTTTGGACAAGATGTCCCTCTGCCTAGTCAGGCGGATGTTAAATACTCTGTGGCACTGTTCGAAAAGAGAAGGGAGTTTCTCTAGTGTCCTGGCCAACAAATGACTTTTCACTTCTACTCATACTCTTTTGTGGGACATTGCTGTGTGAAAATTGGCGATGGTGTCTGCAAATACAGTTAGTATTCTTTACAGTAAATCCAATAAAGTGCTTTAAGGCATTTCAACAATTAGATAAGGCAGAATACTAAATATAAGATTTATTATTTCTGCAATGCCCTGATGTTGCGATTGTACTCACTGTTTAAAAGCAATATTTTAATGAGACTCAGCATAGAACAAATGGATGCTAATACTATGCCCTAATTTTACTCCCGAGGGCAAAAATTCTACTTGAATCTACAATTTTGATGTTTCAGAAAGTGAAGTTTTGAACATTTCTTAAATTCTATTTCAATTTTGAAGTGTTTTTTTTTCTGCAGGTTCTTTTCAGACTTAACAATTAAGACTGAGTTTTAGAATTGAATTGTCTAAAAGAAAAAATCGAATTCTTGGTCTGGGTGGAATTTCTCCCCCTAGAAACAAAGTGATGCTGATTTTTATGGCTGCATTTATTTAATGATGGTCTCAAAAGCAGGGCTCAGTGATTCAATGCTCCTTAATCCCAATCTATACTGTATGATTTACAGCGAGAAATACACTTCTATAATAAACTATAAATGCAGCATTAATTTTCTAGTGTTTTTTTTAGAACAGTGATGTTCTGGTGGTGAGACCCATTGCTTAAATTGTTGAAAATCTTTAACT